TATTTATTTATTTATTTATTTATTTATTTATTTATTTATTTATTTATTTATTTATTTATTTATTTATTTATTAATTATACCACCGCATTAGTGCAATGCACAATTCTCGGCAGTTTACAGCAAGATAAAATAAAACACACGCAAGAAGAATAAAATTATATATAAATGGTCAAATATATAAAGCAAATAACAGCAAGAGGTGCATTATCTCAGTAACAGTTGGATAGCTCAGTGATTTAGGTAGAGGTTGGGAGTTTGATTCCCCGCTGTGCCTCTTTCACAGGGGCTGGACTGGATGATCTCACGGGGTCCCTTCCAGGTCTGCAGCTTTAAGATATATAACAGGGTTAGGGTTAGGGTTTCGCTAGACAATGATTTCGCTAAACAGCGATTTCAGTGGAACGGATTATCATCGTCTAGCGAGGCACCGCTGTAACTTGAATTTGGTGCGAAACAGACTTCTCCCAACCAGTTCCAACCAGATTTCCCAATTTGGTACGGAAACAGAGTTCTCCCAACCAGTTCCAACCAGATTTCCCAGGGGAACCACGCCTACTCAGTAAGAAGAAGGAGTTGCAACTTCAACGTAAGCCTCTCTCAAGAGACCGAAGCTGCCTACTATATTCCCTTGTGAAATGTGGTCAGTTGTTTTAAATGAATTTCAGCAAACCCGGTGCCTTCTCTGAGGTTTCTCTGAGACCAGAGGGAAACACAAGGATGTCCGAACTTGGAAATATTTCTTGGTTGAGCTGGCCACACTCGGTGGCAGATCTTTCAGTTCAAGAATGTTAACTTTCCCAGTACCTGCTCTTCTCGCTCACTCCAGATTTGCGTTCGCAAGCAAGCTTCAAAAGAGGTTGCCCTTTGGTGCAGCTGAGTTTTAACAGAAGGGGGAGATCCTGCCCCTAAACTGGAAAAGTCCGAAAGCATGGCCTTGTCAGCATTGGTGCCTGGGAGGGCAGCCAATATACTGTATTGTGCGGGAGAGCATTTGGCGTTCCATAATTCAACTCCAAAAATACATCTACCTGTTTCTTCCCCCACAAAAATTTTTTATAACTATGAAACTGGACCTTGAATCAGCACCAAATTCACACTTGTTGAAAAACAGTCCAAACTATTGCTTTGGGTGAGAAATGGCTAATGGGTTTTAAAAAGATGTCAGGTCCCTGGGATTTTCCCTTGCATGGTGTCATTTTTTATGAATGGTCGTGAGCCAAAGAGGGTATCCTGTAGACCATCTTGACTGCTGCCACTGGTGTTGTCAACATTCCGGCTTTGCTATGTCAAACCTGGCATCCTTTGTCCCGCTGGCCATGCGGGCCCCATGTTGTGCAGCCATATTGGGCCATATCCTGGCTTTTTTTGAATCGTGGGTCCAGGAGCACAATATCCTTCCTACCTTCATCAACCAGAGGCTTTTTGAAGGCTTGAATTATCTCATGCACTCCACTGATGAGTTTCTTGGCTTTTCAGACCTCAAACTTAGGTGGCTTGACAAGGTGAAGTCTTACCGGTTGGACAAGAACACTACTGGCAACTCGACTGACACAGCCTATGCCCGTGGGCACCTCCGAAAGCAGATTCTTTGCGAGTGATTTCCCGCAGAGCGGCCGACCACGTTTCGTGTTGTTCTAACCTTGGCGAAGCAGGTTTATGCCACATAAACTGAAAAAAAGGAGAGAGGGAGGGGAGAAAGAGAACAAATTATGCAACCCCCTTGCTTTCTTGGCAAGAAACCCTCCTTCTCTCGCTCTTGGAATCCAGACCACACCCTCCTGCCCCACCTTGGAGTCTGCATTCTCTGGCATGGGTACGTTTATTTATTTTTATTTTTGTCTAAAAGCATTGCTTCCTTGGAGAAGAGGCGAGGCTGCAGCGCTCTTCTCGGATGTGCTTTCTGCACATGATCCTAAAACCGGCACCGTTCCAAGAGGCCGTTCTTTGAAGGCTTCCCTTCCTCGCTCTTCAGAACATACCAGCCGCCTCTCCTTTGCTCTACTCTCCCAGCACCGAAACAGACCCTCTGGTGAAAACAAAGTTAGGAATTCAAGTACCAGCATCTGGCTGCCAATCCAGACTTCCCTTGCACAATGCAAGGGTGTTTATTTTTTTCTTCTCCTTTCTCTCTCACCTCTGATTCTGGATTCTTTTAAGGCAGTGCTGTTTGCAATTAAAATATGTGTTTTGCTTTCTTCCCCCCCCCTCGCATCCTACTCCTACGGCTAAAAAAGCAAGTGTCCCCTAGCAACAAACACACACACACAAGCAAGCAAACAAACAGATCTTTTACAACATGGAAAAATGAAAAGGGTAGCCACGAGAATAAAAGAACTGAACTCCACAGAGAAGCAACGTCTTGATTAATAATTGCATGCCGTCCGGTCAGTTCTGACTTACGCCGATCCTTTTCAAGGTTTCTAGGTACAAAAGACACAGAAGCGGTTTACCCTCGGACCTGCAGGTCTGGAAGATCACACTGAACAATGAATCCATAAAGGAAGCCACAGTCTTGAGTTAACTAGGACTGAGCCCAGTGGGTGATGATAGGACTTTTTTTTTGGAGATCACTCACTCATGGGGTCACCGTGGGTCAGAGGGATAGCGCCTGACAACAACTGCAATGCCTATTTGAGTGGAGAGGAACGTGTCGGTGTGCATTTCAGAAAAACACTAGGCTGCCTGCAATTCAGAGACCGACCTCTGACCTTAAGCATCTCATCATGATAAAAATCCTCCATCCATTTCAACAGTCCTTCTTTTCGACGTCATAGATTCATTCTGTACAACTTTGCACGGGGTGAAAACTGTGACATTCAAAGCCACCCCATCCAGGGCTTGGAAGGAACAAGTAGTAAGTAACTATGTATTCTCGAAAAGTAACTAGCTGCTTTTCTCAATAATCGGAGTGTGGTAGTTAGGTATCAAAACTAGTTGCCGTTTTGGATAACAAAGTGTAATGAAGTTACATTTTAAGAGTCACTTCATGCCCGAGATCCAGTAGTAAGTCACAACTAGAGGAGGCCCATTGAATCAATAGAACTTATCTGGGAGATGACTGGTTCGCCAGATCCCCACTGATTCAATTGGCCATATCTACTGGTGACATACTCCTGAATTTCAGCCAATGAGAAGGAAGAAAGTTATTTAATTGGTGTGAGAAGAAATGAAAGGCTTCTTCTTCTTTTCTTGCAAAAGCAAACACAACTCTGTGATACAACGTAACCAACGTTAAAATACAACGTAACCAACTTTAAAAATAACAAATAACAAAAATATTTACTCCAAACGACCAGTGCAACAACAGAGTGATCCCACTAACAACTTTCCAAGGAATGATTCCATAGAGAAATAACTGCATGGCCTTAATTAACATCGTTCATCTTCTCGAAGAGATTGCCCGGGAGCTATGACAAAGGCCCTATCATGTGATGGGAAGCAATAAAACAAGTCACTAGTCACCTTTCTTGCAAAAGCGAGCAAAAAACCCTGTGACCTGTAATTAACAGTTTAGGGCAGCTTTAAAAATTTGTATGAAGGGAAAGAAAACTATACCCTACAAAGGAAACTTCCAATTTCTGCCTGTTATACTGACTGCCTCTTATCAATATATTTGTTGATAAGGACCTGATAAAATCTTCACGGCTTACTTTGAGAGAATACAGTGGTGCCTCGCAAGACGATTGCCTCCCGGGATGATTAATCCACAAGACGATTAGTTTTTGTGATCGCTGTTGCGCTTCACAAGACGATAGTTTCCTATGGACAATTTTTGCAAGATGATGATTTTTCCATTGGAACACATTAAATGGATTTCAATGCATTCCAATGGGGAACCGCATTTCACAAGACAATGGTTTCTATGGACGATATGGACGATATTTGCAAGACAATGATTTTTTCCATTGGAACGCATTAAATGGATTTAAATGCATTCCAATGGGGAACCGCGTTTCGCAAGACGATGTTTTTGCAAGACAGCGTTTTTCGCGGAACGAATTAACATCGTCTTGCAAGGCACCACTGTAATATTAACCTCACCTAGTTCAATGAAATTAAGAAACAAGGTTGTCGCTAGGCATTGTCAATAAGATCATAGTCACTGAAGGAGACCAGAAAAGAATAGGCTGAAATGCATTGGGCCTATTCAACAAACAAGAAGTATTTTCCCCTGTTTTGAAATGTTTTCTTCCTTTTACACGAGCTTTTGTGGAGTGTTTCCAGTTTCCTTTTGTTAAGGATATGAACTTGCACCCTGTCACGCTTGGAAAGAAACTGAAAACCCCATTTTCTCTTTGCAGCGAGATTTCTCCATGCACCCCCCCTAAAAAAAATATTGCAGGAAATCTCATGGGATTCCTTGGATGTTTGGTGGTCATTTTCCCCAAGAACTTCCAAGTTGCACAAGATCATTTTACGATTCCCGCATGAAATGGCATCTTGAGGAGCTTTGTGGCTCAGTGGTTAAATTGCTGCACTGCAGCCAAAACTCTGCTTACAAGCCGGGGTTCAATCCCAGGTAGCCGGCTCAAGGTTCACTCAGCCTTCCATCCTTCCGAGGTTGGCAAAATGAGTACCCAGCTCGCCAGAGGAGTGGGAGCGATGTGTAGCCTGCATCATTAAATTGTAAACCACCCAGAGACTGCCTTAAGCACTATGGGGCACTATAGAAGCAACATATTTTGCTTTGCTTTTTGCTTTTTCTTAAGCAGGGTTCACCTGAAAGGGGCGTTAAGAATTTAGCAGCTCCCTGCAATGAAGGAGTGGAGAGGAATTTTGTTCTTATGGAAAGCTGGGAAATCTCATAGATACAGAGGAAATCCCAGTGGGAAGTCCAGGCATGATGAGACTCACAAAATCCCTGAGTATGAAAAATCTTATGAGCACCTGCCCCATCCCTAGATTTTGTTACACCTGTCCCTTTGGCTTTTTTTGTAGCCAATGGGAAGGCAAAGAATCGCAACGGATTTCTCTGATTGCAGTCTCAGCCTCGTCCCAGTGGGCTTTGGGAACAAACGTGTGCAACAGCAGATAAATATTTGTCTTCTTTAATATTGCAAGTGTTGACTTAGGCCTCAATGCTTCTTCCTTGCAGCAGAAAACAAACAAATACAAACTAAAAGCTGCAGTTTGGGTGAAATGCATGCCATTATCTCATGAAAACCAGGGTGTGGTTGTTATTTATTATTCGTTACGTCTATATTGCCGCTGTTTTGACGACAAACTCAAGTACATTGGTTCCCCTCCCTCTCTCATCATCACAACTCTGATACAACGTAACCAACGTTAAAATACAACGTAACCAACTTTAAAAATAACAAATAACAAAATTTTTTTACTCCAAACGACCAGTGCAACAACAGAGTGATCCCACTAACAACTTTCCAAGGAATGATTCCATAGAGAAATAACTGCATGACCTTAATTAACATCGTTCATCTTCTCGAAGAGATTGCCCGGGAGCTATGACAAAGGCCCTATCATGTGATGGGAAGCAATAAAACAAGTCACTAGTCACTTCCGAGTATTTTTGCCCATCAAGTCAAACATCTCCATCAGAGCGCTGTTGACGGTTTGGGCGGTGTTTTACCTTTCCAGGTGCTTACATGGAGGGTCCTGCTGAAAAAATCCAGTGTGTCCTGGAATCTAATTGCATTTCTGTTGTTGGCCACCAGGACCACCTGGAGGGGGAAGATGATGAACTGCCAAAGGGCAAATGATCCTAGCAATAGCCGCCTTATTTCACCAGGAGGGTCCTGCGTTTTTAGGTCAAGACATGCCACTCCATGGCATGGCAGGCACATGGCTTGCCCATGAAACAGCAATCCCCAGTTTTAGCTTTTCCAAATGAAGCTGAAAGCATCTCAGGACCAAAAAAAAGAAAAAAGAAAAAAAGAAATTTTAAGAAAATCCTCAAGGGCCGAGCATAGTCCCAGATGAACTTCTCTTGCTTCCCAAAGTTGACAAATTGCCTTGCTTTGTTTGATGATCTGTCTTCACGCCTGAAAGACAAACCAGTTTCCAATGGTATCTGACTCCTCAAACAGGAAACACTCCCTGAATCACGTCTTTCCAGCACTAATTGTGCTTTCAGCTCTAATTGCAGGCTGGCTGGCTCCACATTCCGTATCAGGGTGATATCCGGCCCTTTTGTTAAAGGTACAATATTCAGTTCAAGTTTTCACAGTCTGTGAGCCTTTTGCTGAGTTTTACAAAGGGAAGAGAAAAGAAAAGGAACGGGTGAGATGAAGAGGTTAAGAATGCAAAACAGACCAGATCCTAATAATTTTACACCCCTGTCCTTTATCAGTTCCATTTTAGATTAGGCATCCTTCAGTCTCGAACGACTATGGTAACGTGCTCTGTATGGAGGACTTGGAACAGCGTCTAGTGTGGCTGAG